TACATCTGTATATATGTACATATATAATAAAGATAATGAGCAAACCCAAACCCTGACTTCGATGACCAAAATCCAAGGCTTGACTCATCGGCTAGAGGCGCCTCAACCCCAAAAATAGGGTTGGGCGGTGTATTCTAGTGCGGGACTACATAGCGACTACGAGGAGACCTTCAGAAACTATGAATATGACCATTATGACTATGATAACTGCTGGATATTTGGACCCCTATAACACCCTTCTTCAGTGAGCGGGCCCCCAAAAAAGCTCAAACTTTTCCATTATAGACCCTAGATATAAGGCTGAAAGGTTTAAAGTTCTCCCAGTGGCTACCCAGGTATGTTAGACTCAACTATGCTACGATCTACATACCTGCATGTGTATACGGGCGTGAACTTCTGGTGGTGTTTAGGGTTTAGGGCTTGGGGTTGAGACCCGGATGTGAAATTATCAGAATTCTTGTAGAATTAAGCCCCGCCCCGCCCGAACCTCAACTACAAAACCTGTATCCCCAACCGCCCCCTCCCTGTCCGAGTCAAGCCTAAACGAACCCTCAATCAAGCAGTCGAGTCCTAAGCCTCTGAACCCTGAACCCTGAGACTCAACAGCCTAGTTCTAAACCCCTGAGCCCTAAAATCGCTCAAACTTCAATTTCCCAAATCCGGCATCCTCAACCCTAAACTCCCTAAAACTCCAAAATCCTGACTCCTGACATCCCTAAAGCTCCAAAACCCTAAATCCTGACTCCTAAACCCTAAAATCCCTAAAACCCCAAAAAATCCTAAATCCTCACTCCTAGACCTACCCCCAGAAGCCTCGATGCGGTTCAGCGACGCCACTCCACCCAGCCCCTGGCTCTAAAGTCGGCACCTTAATAATTAGAATAGGGTTTTTGAGGGCTCCTTACCCTATTCAGAAAAGGGTTTCGGGGGCTCCTTATTATAATTATGGTACAAAGGGCCCCAGAACCCTATTCACAACTTTATATGGTATAGTTACAATGAGGGACCCTAAGGAATAATTCGGGTAATTATTTAGGCGTCAATATTAGATTCTGGGTAGTTGTCCAAATGAGGATCTCTTTTTAGCTTAGGGCTTTTTACGATTTTAGGGTTTAGGGTTTAGGGTTGAGGAGTTTAGGGTTTAGGGGTTTGGGCTGAAGGTTTAGAGTTTTTGGGTCCCAACCTAGTGCGTGCTGTATTGAAGGCAGAATTAAAGTAGGATCCCTTTTCTGGGACCCCCAAGAGCAGGTTGCCGTATTGAGAGCAGAACTATTTAGGGTTCCCCAGAGAGACCATGATGTTGACAGTTATCCATCGGGGCCTTCATGATGAGAATTGGGTTCCACTTAAGGGTTCTATTCTAGACTCTAGAGGGGTTCGATACGAGGCTTTTTGGTTTTAAGGGCCCTGCAAAAGGTTCTATCATGAGGTTTCTTAATGGTTGTTTCAAAAACCGTTTCAGGTTTGATACTGGGCCCTAAGTAGACATCAGAAGATAGCCTGAAGCAGCTCGCGATCCCGAACCTGGAGTGCGGGCGGGCTCACCGAGACCCGGGTGTGTAGTTGAGTCTCGTGGATACCTTTGTTCATGGTAAGGTATGATCGACGCTCAAGAGGAAGAAGGTTTCACGCTTTCGGGCATCAAGTAACGACAAGAGTAACAATTGCAAAAACTTCAGAGACAAGTGGTAGCACGACAAATGAAACATTTGTAGCAATGATACCAGCGCGAGACAACAATAATCAACGACAAATACAAATCGCGAATGACGAAGCAAGCAGCATGTGCATACAGTAACAACAATGACAGTGAGACAATGGTGAACATAACACGGAACCACATCTAGTTTTTTGTAGTCAGAAGAAGACAGAGATAATGCGGACAACAACAAGATTAACACTTGCTCAAACTGTGGGAGTAATTAGGAACCACATGTCCTTGGTGTGAACATCGCCTCGTACGGAAATGAGACTTTCACCGTCTCGTTTCCTCCTGTCGCCAACCAGGGTTCCAAGGGCCTGGCAAGAGCTTGTATAGGGCTGCTAGGGCGTACGGTTTAGGGTTTAGGGGTTTAGGGTGTAAGGTTCAGGATAGTTTTCATCTCATGATGCTGAGGATGCTCCCGTGAGCTTTGAGCGTAGGCTTTCAGCCAGAAGGCAGTTTAGGTGTTGCAAGGCTGTCGCTGTTCGTGCATCATCACCCAACTCCCAGCACTCTCGGTACAACACTGAGAGTCACCGTAAACTCTAAAGCCTAAACCCCTAAACTCCAGAAGAACTGCCAGCTGACGGTCAGGACTTTCGGCTCGTCTTTGCTAGGTCTACGGCAATGTAGAGGCCTTAACAATTAGAATAGGGTTCTGGGGTGCATTATTCTCTACTGTTAATTTATAAGGAACCCCAACAATTGGTATTTGTAAGCTTCCCCCTAAACCCTACCTCAAGAACCCCAAACCCACTTTTTTGTAGGCTCTTATTCTAAACCCTAATATGGGATTTATAGGGACCCTAGAAAAAAGTAGGTTTTGGGTTCTTAAGGTAAACCCTAAACCCTAAATATACGGCAGGAGCTTTCAAGGTTTCAACCCAGGGCTTTCAGCCCCCCAGAGCCGCAGTTGCCGGAGATAAGCAAGCTCGGTGTGTGCGGGTCCGGGTTACGGTTTAGGGTTTAGGGCTGAGGGTTTAGGGTTTAGGGCTGAGGGTTTAGGGATTAGGGATTAGGGTTTAGGGTTTAGGGTTTAGGGTTTAGGGATTAGGGCTCAGGGTTTAGGGATTAGGGTTTAGGGTTTAGGGCCCAGGGTTTAGGGATTAGGGTTTAGGGTTTAGGGATTAAGGTCTAGGAGGTTTTGCAGATAAAGATGCCTCGGATACGGGCCTCCGCGCCTGACCAGAAGGCAAGCCCAGAGCAAGACCCAAATCCCCACATCCCTCAACCCCTAAACCCTAAATCCTCAACCCCTAAACCCCTAAACCCCTAAACCCAAAACCCCTAAACCCCCAAACCCCTAAAACCCAAACCCCTAGACCCTAAATCCCTAAACCCCAAACCCTGCAAGCCCTTACTACGGCCCCAAATCATACTCAACCTCTTCACCAAGTCGGCTCTAAACCCTATGACCCTAGCCACCCAGACACGCAAAACCTCGATCTTCATCGCGACCGAAACCCCGAAGCCCTCAACCCCTTGCTAAACCCTATCAGCCCACTTGGGGGCTTTGGGTTTATAAGGTCCAGGGTTTTGGGCTTAGGGTTTAGGGGCCTTAGGTGTGGCTTTGTTGCCAATTCGCTGCCCTAATATTTGCGGAGACCATCCAGCCAGTGAAACACCAACTTCTTCAGGCTCCCCATAGGCCCCATAGTAGTTCCTTTTTGGGATTACCTTATAGGATTCTATATATGAACCCCAAGAAGGAACTACTTTAGGGCCTATGGCTCCGTCAGACAACACATGGGTTCTTGCCCCTTGGTCGGTGGCCTGTGGGTTCTGTGCCAATTTTTCACGCAGAGTTGAAGTGAGCTCTACATTACGCCGCACATGGTTTACCAAAATTATCTCATCATCAGACTCATCGTCTCCACACGGCCTCACAGGAGAAGGGCTTTCCTGTGTGCATGCGGCACCATGACACCAACCTCTGCAAGGCCGCTTGAAGGAGGCGGATGTGGTCGTTCAACAGTGCCTCAAGCGGCCAGCCACTCTGCCTGTAGATGGGGGTTTCCGAAAATAGGGGACCCCAATATAGTACCCTAAATAATAGGATCCCTATTATAAGGACCCCAAATAAGGTACCCCCTATTTTCGGAAAGTCCCAGATTGCCTGGAACTGGCTCGAAGATTTGCTCGGCGATGGGTGAACGAAGAAAGGGACTGGGCTTCGTGTCTGCGCATCTGCGTTTCAGCCGCGAAGCCCTCAACCCCTTACTAAAATCCTAAAGCCCCAAACCTCTTAGCCTTGAACCCCTAAACCCCAAGCAGCTCCTCCCTGCCTGTCCAAAGGGAAATCTTTTTTGAGAAGGTCTGCCGCAGCTCCGCGCAAGACCTTGCAGGAAGACTCAGCTTGTGCTTCAGGTTTTACACGGGAAGGGCTTTGTGTAATCTTAGGGTCATGAGCCCTAAACCTTTTGGGTTTATGAGGTGTAGAGCCCAGTTCTGAAGCTAAACAGTTCAACCATGCGTGATCCCGTAGCACGCACAGGGTGGTGGTTGTGGTGGTGGTGGTGGTGGTGGTGGTGGTGGTGGTGGTGGTGGTGGCGGCGGTCGTTGTCGTCGCCGGCGGCGTCGTGGTCGTCGTAGTAGTGGTTGGTGTTGTTGTTGTGGTGGTGGTAGTGGTAGCAGCAGGGGTAGTCCTAGTTTCTATGATAAGGATGGGAAAAGATACTGATGATAAGAATAGCTTAGAAACCCCAAACTATGAAACTGTCAATACCAGCAATCTAACAGCCTACAAAAAGTAGGTTTTGGTAGGTTAAGGTAGGGTTTCGGGTGATTGCCAGATGCATCCGCATTTCCTCGCCTGTCCCTGTCGATTCGAATCGACAGGGACAGGCGAGGAAGTGCGGATGTGGCAATCACCCGAAACCCTACCTTAACCTACCAAAACCTACTTTCTGTAAATTCTAACAACCTGCACAAAAGTCGGCTATGGTAGCTTAAGGTATAGCCCTAAGTATACCCGACGATAAACTCTAAACCAACCCTAAACCCTAAAACCCTAAAACCTTAAAACCCTAAACCCTAAACCTAATCCGAGGACAAGACCAGGGTCCCCGGCGCAAGGCAGCGACTCGCCGCGGCTGCGCAAACAGCGCGTAGCGAAGTCTCGGGGAGCCACCTTTATAATAAAGGGTCCTTTACAATTAGAATAGGGTTTTGGGTGCCATTATACTATAAAAACATTCATACTAATCATAATTACGAATATAATTAATAATACGACTACTAACAATAACAGTAATAAGGAACCCAAAAATAGTATAGGTAATTATTTAGGCCCCTTTAGTAGGTGGGATTTTACAGGAACTTTCAGGGCTTCAGGCTTGGGGCTTTCAGGGTTCAGGGCTCAAGGTTTTGAGGGTTTCGGGGTTCGGTTTAGGGTTTAGGGTTTAGGGTTTAGGGTTGGGGGTTTCAGGGTTCGGGGTCTTTGAGGATTGAGGTTTCTTTTCGGGATTTAAGGTTGAGAGAGTAGGGCTTGAGGGTTTATGGGAGAAGGGTTAGGATCTGTAGGGTTTTGGGGTTTTGGGTTTCGGTGTTGGGGTTTGGAGTTCAGACAAGAATACAAGGTGATCATCTTAGGGTGCCCTTCAAAGTGCGTAGTGGGGGTGCAAAGACTGGAGCTTCAGAAATGTGAAACTAAAGGCCATGGCCACCGGCTCCTCAGTACTCCCGCAATCCCTACCCCCAAAATCTAAACCAACCGCCCTCAGGCGATCCTTTTTGTGGCGATTCAGAATCACTGAGGAACCTCCGCAGCAAAGAAGTGAATAAGGTGTTTACTGGCTGAACTACGGTGGGGCTTGGGGTTTGCACGGACAGTTGTTCCAACCTGGTTCCGGGATTTCTAATGCCCAGGACTCACACCTGGCTTCTAGAACCCATACCCTCCTTTCACAAGAGTCTGTCTATACTACGGATCGCTGTATAGGGACCCTACATAGTTTTAGCAGTGTCCCTGATTTCAGAAGCTCCCGTTCTTGATAGGATCCCCTAAACCCTGAACCTGGACCTGGATTCCTGGATCACTACGTCCTCAAACAGACGCAGCTCGATAAACCTGAGCAGAGTCATCTACAAACGAGGCCCCAAATAGCCTGTGCAAAAACAACATCCCAACTAAGTTTTGCCCGATGATCCAAAACCAAAGTCCCTGAACACTAGACCACCTTCCCCCAAACTTCCGTCCCTACCTATGCCCTAAACCCCAAACCCCTAAACCCCAAACCCTAAACCCTAAACCCCTAAACCCTAAACCCCAAACCATACACCCCAACCCCCATCGGAGCCTCGGGACATCCCCAGGGATGGGATTTGCCGGGGCTCAGCAGCGAAGGGCGGTCGAAGGCCTACCAGTGCAGGGCCCAGCTATCTGAGTTTGGGATGTAAGGTTTAGGGTTTAGGATGTAGGGTTTAAGGTTTAAGGGTGTTGATTTTCGGCGGTAGGATCTTATGGCTTGCCTTGTTCATAGGTTTCTGCTTCAGGGTTTATAGTATGATTTCGTTGTTTTGCTTCAGGTTCGGCAAGATCACCCGTCGAGGCACCCTGAATTCAGCGGCTTCAGGCTGCACTAGCGGCGGCTGCCAGGGGGTTTAATGTTTAAAGCTGTGTATATATAGAGAGAGTTGAGCCTGGGGACAGGTGTGGAATCTATGCTTGAGTTTTCACCAAGCAAAGCATCCTGAGCCCAACCAACGTCTTGAAACAGATTCTCCCCAAGCAGCCTACTCTTATGAAACGGATGCCTTCAACTTCTGGGTTATGTGTATGTTGAATGTTGAAGAGATGAAGGAAAATGAAACCGAACAACAACAAGACACATCAAACAGGCCAAGAGCCAGAACAACAGGAAAACAACAAAGAAACAACACCAACAAACGAACAACAAAATGCCCGTCCCGGAGGCCAGCTTTGTTGGTTGTATTCTATGTGGTTTCTGTCTATTTTATTGTTGTTTTCCAGGGAAAAACCAAAAATGAAACAGCAAAAACACAAATGTGTGTGTGTATATATATATATACATACGAAGAACACACAAATTGAACACACTTCAAACAAACGATAAAGCAAACACACACGCAAACATACAACCTCCCATGCCCACCTGTTCTGTTTCGGTTGTGTTTTCATGCTGTTTGTGGCTTAATTATTTATCTTTTCCTTGGCTTCCAGAAGTCATAGTGTTTTCCATGTCTTAAGCCTACTCAGACTGCTGTCGTTCAACATTGATCTTAGAGTTTCAGAACAAACTATGCGTGCTCAAGCCTGAACCAACACTAAACATCGCCCATGACGAATTCTGCTCTCCTCGCCTACTGTGCGGTGAAGGGGGATGCATTCCAGATTCTACCGCCCAGAGGCTTCTGCTGCCTGAGGGGCTTGAAGTAGGGGCCTTCATAATTGGAATAGGGTGTTGGGCTCCTTTTTTTAAAATATAATTCTTACTAAGGAGCCATGAGGAATATTGTTCGTAATTATTGAGGCTTCTAGAGTAGTATAGTCTTGAGCTGGACCTTGGAGCTATCCACAAAGGCCCAAGCACCCTGAAGGGATGGGTTATACGTAGTCCTAGGCTACAGGCTTAGTGTTTGAGGTGCACAATCCTAAATCCTAAACCCCAAACACCTAAAGCGCTCAACCCTACCAGGACCCCCCCCCCTCCCATGAGGAATGAATGGAGATCCAAATCGTCTTCAACCTTGACAGGTCGTGTCTAAGTGCTAGATCTACATAATCTAGGGGGCTAAATACATACCAATACTAGTTTTTTTTTTTTTGGGGGGGGG